AAAACCTGTCTTATGAAAAAAAACAAAAAATGTGTCTTCTTTTGTCCAGATGAGTGATTCTCAACTGGGGAGCCACGGTGCCAGCGCCTCTGTTCCTACTACCGCAACAGCGAGGTGAAACTGTCCTGCATGGCTCTGTTTCCAAGAGGCACGTGCAAAGCCAGACTAGGAAACAGCTGCAGCCGGCAGGCATATTTCTACCTGCATTAGATTTATCTGAGTGCTCCCTCCTCCCACAACCACTTCTTGGTCTTGCTCTTTCCATGCCTCTTAGAAACAGTCATATGGGTCAGTTCCACTTGGCAGTGGCAGCAGCAGTGGCATGGCAACCTGGAGAGAGACCTGGTTTATCTCCAGGCTGCTACACCACTGCTGCCTCTGTCACATGGAATTGTCTTGTGTGGCCATGGGCTGTTCTAAAATTTTGAAAAGGGGAGTGCATTATTACATATAAAACAACACATATTTTTCTCCAGTTAAAAATAAACTAGAAGCTTTACTAACGTGCCACAGGCTTAGAGCTATATCATTCCATTTAATATTGAAGCAAAAACAAATATAACTCCCTTGGAATGAGTTAAAAACAATCTGCAGGGCTGTGAAATAGGAGCTTCATTACCAGGAGCAGCTAACAGACAGCAGAATCACAGAACAATGGATAGCCTGAGTGATGGAACATCAAGACCATTAAAAAGAAGAGAAAGTCATTAACACATGTGGAATTAAGTTTAAGAAGGGATCAGAAAGATTATAAGGAGCCATGAAGTCAGTTGTCTCCCTCAGCCCTGCCTGACTAGAAATGCCAGGCAGCTGGTTTCAAACTTTGGGTGGACCAGGAATCAAAGTGGGGTGCAAGTATACTAGTGTATCCCCCCTGGATCTGCCTCTGTGTGTGTGCCTGTGTTTGCAGGATACACATGCAGAGCCAAACTGGGAAGTAGAGGGTGTGCTCATGACTGTATTAGTTTATGTGATAAAGCAGATAAACTGAGACAGTATAACAATGCTTCTCAGATGGTGTGCCACTAAATTCAGGAAAGTTATGGAAGGGAGACTTTAGTCCAAAGTGGCAGAGAACTACTGACCTAAGAAAACAAGGGCTGAGAGGTACATTATTGCCATACAAGAGCAATAAAGCTAAAAGGTACCATTGGCACATGAACAAATGGAGAAAAGCTGATCATGAGTAAATGTAAGCTTGAAATTTGAGTA